TCTTTTAAGTGTCAAGCTTTTAAAGTCAAATTTTTGTTTGGAATGCTTTTATTGAGGGGGGCTTTGATTTTTCAAATGATTTTATGCTAAAATTTACCACATACTCTCCATTATTATTTTTGAACTTTAAAGTTGAATTATTTTTTATATAACAAAAAGGGGGAGAAGTATGAGTTCGAATAATTCAATTTCTAAATGAAAAAGTGAGAGTTTTAATATTTTCCAAATATTTCTCTTTTTCATGAAATATTTTATTAAGAGGGTGTTTTGCCAAAAATAAATTTTCAAATGTTTTGTTATATAAAAAGGGGAGAGATTGTTGAACCATGTTTTATAATATTTTGATATAACAAATTAAGGAAAATTGTTTTTGTACTTGATTGAATTTGTTTAAAGTTTCCAAAAATAATTCAAAGTTCATAAACTAAATTTTGAGCATTTTTCTTGGTACGTAGTACCGATATTGTTCACGTAGTACCGATAACAAAGGTAAGAGAAGTATCGATACTCACTAGGTAGTATCAATACTACCCGTTGTTTTCCAAATTACTCAAATTCAAGAATGCAAAATAGGTATCGATACTACTTTACACAGTGATATTGATACCATGAAGCATAGTATCGATACTGGTCAAGCTCAACGGTCTTTAACGGCTAGTTTATTTAAATATTACAAAGGTAGTATCAATACTCATTGAATGAGTACCTATACTCCCTGCCCTGGGCAGTTTTATTTTGCAAAAAATTAATCTCCAACTGCTAGAAACGGAAACAAACTCATTCCAACATATAAAAACAAGTTGAGGATACTTGAAAAAGGTTACAACACCTATCCAAGCAATAGAGATCAAGAGAAAAACTTTTTCACTCTTTATTTTTCCTTTTCTCTTGTATATAAGTGTGTTTGATCTTATTGCATATCTTTTAATTGTTTTCTTGTAAACTTAATTTTTGTAAACACCTTCCTATTGAGAGGTTTTTCTTGTTTACATCTTGTATTCCTTTGTAAAGGGGATTGGTTCTAGCTTAGCCTTTTAAAAGATAGGGAGTTGTAAATGTTATCTCTTTTGTCCTGGAAAAAGAAAAAAAATAGTGAATTTGTTAGAAAATCCTATGTGAGGAGCTTAGGTAATGGATAAAGACTTGGTTGAGAAGTCAAACCACTACAAATCCTTATGCAAATTGTTTATCTCTTTATACTCCTTACTCCCTAAACTCAAAAAGCCAATTCACCCCCTTTTGGTAAATTATTCGGTTAATTAATTGAGCTTCATCGAAATCCCAACATCACTGGTTATCGATATTCACATGGTACAAAGTTTCTCTATCACATTATTCACATGGTATGCCATCTCGCTTACGAGTATATCCTTCACAACAATGCATCATTCATAATTATTCATTACACATCATTATAAGAGTAATTTTAAAAGTGTCTTACCTCGTGTTTTTGGTAATTTATGCCTCATAAGAGTATTTTGGCCATTTACCAGTTCAAATGTATTTCTAGTCCTTTAACAACCTTCGGTATTGATCTCAAGCCTTTGATATGGATACTGACCCTTTTAGTATGTATACCAATATACCAAACTTTCAGTATGGATACCAATCCATTTGGTATGGATATCAAGCCTTCGGTGCAGATACCAGTTCATCTGATATGGATACCAACCCTCAGGTATGAATAATAATTCATCTGGTATGGATACCAGCCCCTCGGTATCAACACCAAGAATCTGGTATCAATATTGAGCCCTTCGATATCGACACGAATAATCTATTATTGATACCGAGCCTCCAATATCAATATTATTACTTTAGTTATTGATAATTAAAGACTACTATCAATACCGGTTCATTCGGTATTGATATCGTGGTTAAGAAAACCCAATTTTCACCTAGAATATGAATAATATATATACTAATTGAGTAATATCAATAGTACAAACTAGAAAACCCATAATAAGTCTTAGGAATCACTAAAAATCCTCTCAAACCCTTTAGTTTGATCCCAAGTTATGTCCTAAAGTTTAGGGAAGTTATTTAGGGTCATATAGCATCATAAAAACACAAAATTTACAACAAAAATGTTATCCAAGTCATAAATCAAGAACAAACCCTAACATGCTTAAATAGTAGAATCTCAACAAAGCATCATTATCATGAAAGCCATAACATCATAAAGGATTAGAAATAAATTACCTTAAAGCTAAATTCCCAAAATGATACTCCTTCAGAAAGCTACAACTCTCCACTTATTTCTTCATGATCTAGGATTATTCACGCCCACTTTCTTTAGCCACACAAGGAAAACAAGTATTTTCTTAACACAAAGAAGATTGTAGGAAGTGTTAGAGACATATTTAAAGCTTATTAAAGTAGGGAAAAGAACTCTTACCACCCACTTGGAGCTATTGAGCTTAGAGGAAAGGATGACAGAAGAAAATGAGGAAGAAAAAAGGAATAGAAAAGAATAGTGAAAGTGTTCACCTTTCACTTAAACCCACACCCAAAGTCGAAATAAATATCAAGAAATCAACTTCATTTTCACAAATAGACTAATTAAACTTTTGATCTTTCCAATTGAGCCTTCTATTAAACAAATCCCCTTTTATGTCCAATCGAGCCTAAATTACATCTAATTAAGTCCACACTCAGACCAACGACTCAATTGCTAACTCTTCAAAGTCCGCATATCTTTCAAGTCAACTCTCACGCGTTGACTTTGAAAATCAGGGTATCACAATGTGATAGAGATGCAATAGCGGCATCGTTAAAGAATCAAACTTAGAATCTCTAGACTCGATCAAAGAACGAGAGGAAAATATTGAGATGTTATGGGCGACGATAAGGAGATGTTTTGCAAGATTTAGGGTTGGTGGAAATTTAGATATATAGAAGATTAAACAAAACAAGATAAGGAAAATAAAAGGATAAAGATAACTAAGGATAATTAAAGATAAGATAGGATAACTTAGCCAAATTAGGGTTTATTGACAAATTATGGAGATGGTGGCGTGGATGATATTGACAATGAAGATGAAAATAGACTGATAGTTGTCCTATCGAACCCTCTTAATGGAAATGAAAAGACAAACTCGATAAATGGCTCTAAACAACGCTTTTAATCGCAATGAAGAGGCAAACCGGAGTGCGAATATCTCTCTCACAAAGAACTTGAAAATAACTTAATTAAAAGAAGCTTCGAATGGACAAGTAATCAACACTTACAAAGATAAACTCTCAATTTATTGTATTCAAGAAAAGATGTGTTTACAACGTTGAATGAAGCCTCTTTTATATAGGAGAGGAGTTTTAAAAGCCCTAAATAGCCGATGAATAAAAATAATAATAAACTAAACATGTTCTAATTCCTAATAAATAATAATAAACTAAGAATAAAGTTTTAACTCGATCTTAATTCCTAATAAAATAATAAAGATAATATTAAAAGATAATTCATCATCCTATATTAAATTATATTACAAATAATCAATAAAAATATTGAAAATTCATAATATTTACAAAATCTCGTATTAAACCCGTATAGGAATTTCTGCATGCATTGTCTTCACTAAAATGAGCCTATCTTGAGTTTCCGATATCGGATTGATGCGATTCAAGAATCTTTGGAAAGCTAAGAGACACCCGGTAGTAACTCGAGAAGACATGTTGACCAAATAACATCAGGGTCACATTCAAAATGCAGTCGCAAGTCTGTTGCTTTGTTGGTATTCTTTTCCAAGGCTTGGTCATGTGGGTCAATTTGAAGCGCTAGTGTATCATTCTTTGATGTAAGTCTTCTAATGAATGTATCACAATGTCGAGGAAAATTTTAGGAAAAGAGGGGTGATATCGACTATTTTGCCTTTAGGGGTATATTTCAATTGATTCTTTTATGATAGGAGGTTTTCAAACTCATCGTACCAATTATTGATGGGAATGAGTTAGTTTTTTTGGCTATAGACGGTTTACCCCTTCTAGTTTAGGTGGATAACTGCAATTGGTGGAAAGACATCTGAGCCTGATGTCCAAGTGTTTTGTCTTCTTAAGGAGGTAAATAAGAGATGAATGATTGAAATGTTATTTCATCTCTTCTCTCAGTCTTGATTAGGAGGTTTTATAGCATTTTTTGGAGTTTGTGTTAGTCGTAGGGTCATTATGATTATCCGTAGGCTAAGTGGATATGGTGAACTAGAGATAGATTTAGCCCTAGTAGGTCACAAAGACATACCAAATGTCATGTCAATAGATCATAGCTTCCCAAGGGACGTTGAATTCTTGAGGTTCTTTCTATAAAGATTTTAGAGCACGAAAACAATATGCGGAGGGTCTTAGACGAAGATACATCACTATTAAAATTTAGATTATATTATTTTTTGAAAAATAAATAATTTTATATTGAATTAAAAAATAAATTAAATTGATAAATCATTATATACTTTTTTTTGAAAAATATAAATAAATTACATAAAACAAAAAATCGTAAAACTATTTTTGAAATATATTAGTGGTCCAACTCTAAGTTATAATACAGAAGGATAAACCCAAAAAAAAAAGAGTCAATGGCTGGTAGTGCGTGGAAAACACTTGCAAATCGAACTTCTCCTCTCCTAACAAAATTATTAATTATAATATTTTATCAAATAATTATCAGTATTATTATTTTTTTTGTTGCCGTCTAGTTTTATGATTTCGTCCAGATTAATTTGAATCGATTTAGGTCGTATATTTGATTTTGGTGATGAGTCTCCCAGAGAGGATTTTCTGTGTAAACAAGAACTCGAACTTAAAATTTTACTTAAATTATATTAAGCTGTTTACTACTTAAACCAACACCGTTTTTAATTATTATTTTATTATGTTTTTTTTGACAACATTATTTTATTATGTTAATATTAATAATATCAGAAGGAAAAATAGTGGAACAAAAAGTTGTTGAGTGAAATAATTTTTATATATATATATATTTTAAAAATATAGGCGTATATATATTCGCCTGACAAAACATGAAAATGAGCCTGAAAATGGGTAGGGGCCTTCACCTTAGGTTTCAATCGACGAATCCGCTTATCTTAACCCATTTCATTCCGGCCGCCTCTAGATCCTACGTGTTAGCCGCCGTATCCTTCCATTCAAGGTAAGCTTTCAATTTTCATTTCAGCTCCGGTTTTCATTTCTTTTAAAAAAGGAATTTAAATCCAAATTGTAAAACAGGAAAATAAAACTAAAATTTGAAAATCCTAGCTGATTTGCCAGATTAATCCTACAATTCGCGCTTTAAGGGGACCTCTATTGCAATTCGAGCTCCCACCGTCATCGTAATCTTCTTCTACTACAGCTGGCGTGAGATTATTAAGGAGGAAAAAGTAAAACAAAAAACAAAGATTTCTTTTCTCTTTTGTATGTCTCCATCTCTTTATTTATTCTCCGTGGTTGTGAAATTTGGTGGTTACAATTACGGAGCGGAGGTTCTTGAACGGATATGCAGAAGAGTGGGAGTCTATCGAGGAGTAGTGACAGTCCGGCAGTGAGAGCGTCATCATCACCGCCCCCACCGTCTCAGCAGTCGGTGAGGCGGCTGAGTTTGTGCTCCCAAATAGCAACCCACTCGTCCCCAATTGTGTTCCCAGAGAAAGGTACTAAGAAACACAAGGCTTCCTCCAAACGCAGTGAAGCCCCAGTTACGGATGATCAGACTGATAAATCTAAGGAAGAAGAACATCGGATTGACATTGGAGGGGATGAAAAGTCAGATTTGCTTGGTTGCATAGTTTACGCAGGGAAGCTCATTTTTGATAAGAGAAAGAATGCCCCAACTATTAATAATACCGCTAATGTAGAGCAGAATTCTCCTACCGATATTGTCAACCAAGATGCTATTGCTGCTAAACTCACTAGCAAGGCATTGGTTTGGGGTTCTCGTGTCTTGTCTCTCGATGATGTCATCTCGGTAACCATTTAATCTCTGAAATAGACTCTTTCAATGAATCAAGTCATTTATTTTTGGTTTTCTTTGGGTTTGCTATCAGTCTATTCAGTTTTCTTATATTGACAGGTTTCTTATAATGTTGGTGTTAGACATTTCACTGTGCATGCGTATCCTCTGAAAAGGGGTTCTTATGGCCTTTCATGCTTTATTAAACCAAAGAGAAGTCGAAAGGATTTTCGTTTCTTGGCTTCTAGTGTAGAAGAAGCTGTTCAATGGGTTGGTGGGTTTGCAGATCAGCAGTGTTTCATCAATTGTTTGCCTCACCCTCTAGTTTCTTCAAAGAAGCAAGCATCTTCTGAATTGTTTCCAATGGATGCTCCTCCTGAGCTCGTCTTCAGGTGCAGGAATCCACCAAAAATGCTTGTTATATTGAATCCAAGGTCAGGTCGGGGTCGATCTAGTAAAGTTTTCCATGGAATTGTCGAACCTATATTTAAGGTGTGCCCTTTTATCTTTCATCTTTATCAATTTGTATAGATACTATTACTGTTCAACATTATTTATGGATTTGATACACTGGAATTGATAGTTGTTGATCATAATTGCTGTTGTTGTTTGTAACTTAGTGGTTGTCTTCCTCTGTCCCATATCTGCTGACAACCTATAAATGAGAAATCCTTAGTGTATTCTTTTCTCTTACATGAACTGATTTTTGCGCTCTTAGTTTCTCTCTTAGGGAATCAAAATGCTAGATATAAGTCATATAACCTTCATTTGGATGCATCTAAATCTTGTAGGTGCTTGGTTAAATCATTCGTTCAGATCTTAATAAAAGCACTTCCACATAACTGCTTAAAGCCATAAACACCCTGAATTTTATTGTTTGGGAATACTTGTATGCAAAAAAAAAAATACGGTTAGGATAAAATTGATATTTTGAACTGAAGATGCAGTATTCTTTGCTACAAGTATAGAAGGTTGAATATTTTTCCATGAGATCATCATCAAAATGAAAAAAATAGGCTAAGATCTTGGCAAAACTATTTTGCAATCTATGGCCTTTGATCAAGTGTAGGTAAAAATTGAATTATGTTCCATTTTTCTGTGCTGTTGTGTGGTGAGTATAATTGATACTCGCATATTTGGCATTTCATGTGACTGATTATTTGAATTATAATACCGATGTTGGCGGACTGGATTTGTTAGGAATTCCTTTTAAAGATGAATATGAAGTAATATATAAAGACATCTTAAGTTATGTACCGAATCACGGATACTACTTAATGATCAAATGGCAGATTTTCTCGATAATGTTATTTTGTTTTGTCGTGTGCTTTATTTTCTTTTTTCTTTAACTCATTCCTTCTTTCATTTGTTGTTAGATCAATGCATTTCCTCTCTTGTGATATTCTTTTATTATTGTTAAGGCAAATCAGTTTTGGAGTTTGGGCTTCATTGAGTTTCACATTTTATGTGAAAACTGTGACAGCTTGCAGGGTTCAAATTGGAGGTAGTCAAAACAACATCTGCTGGCCATGCTAAAAAGCTGGCATCTACTGTTGATATCAGCACATGCCCCGATGGTAGTAATACTTGACCATTTAGTTACTTATTCTATCTTTGTTTATGGTTTTGATGATTGTAATGACATTCTCCGTTAACATGAATTTAAATAATTTTACTTCCTTTCAGGAATAATATGCGTTGGCGGTGATGGGATTATCAATGAGGTTAGCCATTTCAACTTTATTCTTCATACCCAGGCCTCTTCCCCCCCCCCCCCCACATTTCAACACCATCACTATTTTTTAGTTACATTGAAAAGTTAAATTACTCAAACTTACCGAGAAAAAGGTATTCCATTGTGTCATTGAGTGATTCCTGGATCAATTTTTGAGGGACCGAATGACCTTCTGTGTATGATAGGATTGAAACATAATTTTAGGGAAGCAGAAATAACTATGTTTCTTGAAGTACATTGTAGTTGTTGTTTACTTATTATGCAAGTATGTTACTCCTGCTTATTTATTGTATAAAAAATTCGGAGTCAAAATAAACATGGAATTATATTTAATTTCACCTAATAAAGGGAGGGATATTGCACTGTTTTCTATGAATGCATCTTCCAGAATGGTTTCTGATATTGTAACTTAAATCATCTTTGGTTTTCAAATTAACAAATAACATGTTTAACAAAGGTCTTCTTTGGTATAACCACTTGTCCTCTGAATGTAGAGAGGACTGATTCTCAATTGAGGCTGTATCTTTTGTAGAAAGTTGCCGACTATTAGGAATTTCACTTCAAATTTTAATTTATTTTAGGAGATAAAGTTTTTATTTATCTTGTATGGTTAGGATTAAGTTTCTTAGGAGATAAGATAGTGTTTAGGAGATAAAAGTTAGGAAGAAAAGAAATCTAGTAGGACTCTAACTTGTAATCCATAGCCTATAAAAACAGGCTGTGTTTTCTGTTTTTCATTGAGAATTTTGATTAGAAAACTTCTTTCTTTTTTTTCTTCTCTCAGTTCCACACATCTTTATCCATTGAAGTTTTTATTGATCACTGGACACTAACAACTTTTGAAACTTTTAGTTAGCCAGCTGCTATACTTATCCTAGTAATGTGGATTGACTACATAGGATTCTTTTATGTTTTTAAGGACCGAGTGAAGTCCAATTTTATGCTTTACTATTGTCTGTTATATCCCTTTCATTGTCATGTCAAATGTCAATTTTAACATTCCCCGTGATTATTTTTTTCTAGTAGTTAACTTTCTATATATTAAGTCCATGCATTTGATTTTTTTTCTCTTATGAAGTTCGTTTTTGGACAATATATTGCTTTTTGATCATGTAATGCCCTATAATACATCTTGTACTTCTTCGAATAAGAAACATCTTTTTTTATGCTTCAATAATAGTTACAAGAAATCACCTGGAAACCTTGTACAAAATTATTCTGCCAGCTTGATGGTTCTTTTTCCCCTCCTACACCAGGATTTTGTCTGTTTATTTAGTTGAGACCCTATTAATACAGAATTCTGATATGTAGTTTATTATAAGCCATGAAATTAGTTCATTGTTATGAGGACATAAACCGTTGGGGTCTCGATCTTCATTCTAGGGGACTGGTTTGAGGGTTTTATGGTATTGTATAAGGACTAGATGCTTTTTTGAAAGCATTGTAATAGAATATAAAGCTTAACTGTCCTTTGGATGGGTTGTGGTCTTTTAGGTATTCTGCTGTTATTTCAGTTTTATTATTAACTACATCCTATTAAATTTGTAGGTTCTTAACGGTCTGCTTAGTAGAGATAATCAGAAAGAAGGAATTTCTATACCCATTGGAATTATACCAGCAGGTTCAGATAATTCACTGGTTTGGACTGTTCTTGGAGTTAGAGATCCAGTCTCTGCTGCGATTTCTATTGTGAAGGTAAAGCTGCTTAGGAAAATTCAAGATAAGATTTTCTTTACTTGTCGGTTGTTTGTTTCTCCCTTTATACATTGATTTTTCAAAATCCTTTTGAAACATGGGTTTGAATTTGTTAAATAACACCTTAATGACCCTAACATGTTTCTATGCGAAGTTTGGGTGAAATATCTCATGATGTTGCATTTCTGTTTGTGCAAACTCTCTTTTTTATAATCAGGGAAATAAGTAAAATTGTTAAGATTTAAAAATAGCATGTTGTTCTTGTTGTAGATACATTAAATGCCTAGTAATCTTTTTGTTGCCTACATTTGTGTTTCTCCCTTCTATGTTTCAGGGAGGCCTTACAGCTACAGATGTTTTTGCTGTTGATTGGATTCAGTCTGGCATTATTCACTTTGGAATGACAGTCTCCTACTATGGTTTTGTCAGTGATGGTATGTACTGGTGACCTGATCTGTCCCTGGCTAATGCAAGTCTGTCAGTTACTATATTCAATTGATATCTGTTCTCTTGTTACAATTATACCTTCCACCTTTTTAAAATGGCGTTCCCAGATTTTGGTGGAATATTTTGGTATTAAGTTGCCTATTTAAGGTTGAGCACCTTGTATGCATTTACTTTTTTATGTAATTCTGAACCAGAATAATATCGTTCCTATATACTTGTGTCAGATATTTCTGGTTACACTGAATTTGTATTCTAGTGACTGTTTGGTTTTTATCTTTATTGTTAAAAACAGTTGAGGAAAATTAGACTCAAAGAATACATACATGACTTCCTGTGTATAGAATGATCGAGTGGAATCCTTTATTAGCTTATATAGTGATGTGTGCAGAGAATAATATCCTTATCTTTTATGAGTTTTTAATGTGGGAATTTTGATTGTATTTTTCTCTCATGGCTTGCAGTCCTAAAACTTTCTGAGAAATATCAGAAACAATTTGGTCCTCTAAGATATTTTGTGGCTGGGTTCTTCAAGTTTTTGTGTTTGCCAAAGTACAACTATGAAGTGGAGTACCTTCCTGCAGAAAAAGATGATCGAGAAGGCCGAGAAGTTGTTGACATGTCAGACCTGTACACAGACGTAACAAGGAGGTCCTACATAGATGGCATTCCTAGAGCCTCAAGTTTATCTAGTATTGGTTCAATAATGACTCCCAGCCGAATGTCTGGAGGTGAGATGGAAACTTGTAGTAGCATTAATGCCAGCACTGAACCATCTGAGTATGTGCGAGGCCTTGATCCTAAGACCAAGCGGATGTCATCTGGAAAAAGAAATGTAACAGCTGAGCCTGAAGTTATTCATCTTCAATTACCACTCTCATCGACCCTAAACTGGCCAAGGACCAGATCTAAATCAAGAACAGATAAAGGATGGAGTGGGTTGACTGCAGCACAAGATCCTTCAAGATGTTCTTGGGGTAATGCTGCAACAAATGATAGAGAGGATATATCTTCGACATTGTCTGATCCTGGTCCAATTTGGGATGCTGAACCAAAGTGGGACATGGAGGCTACTTGGGATGTGGAAAATCCAATCGAGTTACCAGGGCCATCAGATGATGTTGAATCAGGAATGAACAAGGAAGTTGTCCCGAGACTTGAAGATAAATGGGTTGTGACCAAGGGGCCGTTTCTTGGCATCATTGTGTGCAATCATGCATGCAGAACAGTGCAAAGTTCTCAAGTGGTTGCTCCAAGAGCCGAACATGATGACAATACCATGGACATGCTCTTAGTTAACGGGAGTGGGCGACTCAGGTTGATGAGATTTTTCTTGTTGCTACAGATGGGTAAACACCTTACGCTGCCATATGTTGAATATGTCAAGGTAAGAGCATCAATTTTCCTTTAGACAATAGACATCATATTTCAAACACAATTTATTATTGACCGGTAAATTCTACCCAAAGATTGTTGTACAAATTGTTGGTGCAGAATTCTTGCCTGGTTTGACTTTGTTTTGTAGTTTGTGCACTGTTTCTCACACCAGGATAGTTTCTCCATGCTCTTCGATTTATTTTGGGATAATTTGCATTCTTATGTTAGATCAATGAATTGGGTCCAATATCCATAAACATTGACGCATGATTTAACTTCCATTGAAATGCCAGGTGAAATCAGTTAAGATTAAGGCTGGGAAACACACTCATAATGGTTGTGGCATTGATGGTGAGTTTTTCCCCCTCAACGGACAAGTAGTATCGTCTTTGCTTCCAGAACAGTGCAGACTAATTGGTCGCTTCCCCGAATGACATGTATAATGACTTTTTGGAACTTTCTTTGTCATTATCTTGGATGCCGATGCTCTCTTCTCTATTAGTGAGTGTCCTACAAAACAATGTCTTGTGATATATTTTACATATTAATCCCTCCCCATTTGTGCCACTACATACGTGCATGCATACAGTGAGGATCCTGTAAATTTTTGTTGGATTGATGTATGTGTTGCTTGTTTTATTTACCTTTTAAATACGGTTCTCTTGTTTGGATCTGTGTGAATGAGGCGTGAGCTTCTAAATGTATTAAAAGTATACCCCTTCATTGTGTACCTTTTTAAAAACTCTTCACTATTATTTCATTCCTTTTTCTTTTCGTAGTCTCATCTCTGCTTCATATTTCCCATTTGACTGAAAAGCTTCCAAGCGTACTATGCAGAAGTTCTGTAAGGGAAGGAAGCCATGGCAGATTAAATCGCCTACCAAAGATCTATCTAGAGATGGTGCAATATGTGTGTATGCTGATTTTTGTTTCGGATTAGTTTTGCTTTATTTTTTATTTGTTCGTGTTATCCGTTATATCCTTTGTTTTAAAAAGTGTAAGGTGCACCCAGGTGCAAAGATCCCTGAAGCCCAAGGCGTATAGCTTTCGTAGGTGAGGCGCACTTTTGTACTAAAAAATCTATAAATCAACTGACATATTTGTTACTCAAAACAAAATTATGATTAATATTAAAATATTCAATATTAATCAATTATTGATGTTTAAAATAATATTAAAGTATTCAATATTAATAACATTATAGATGTTTAAAGTAATATAAATTAAATTCAATAGATATAGATAAATGATAATACATTAAGTATTAATAATTCATTGTTGTACTGCATAATTTGGGAAAAGATAATGTAATAAATAGCATATTGGGAAAAGATGGCATTAATGCTATAATTTAGGAAAAGATAATATATTAAATAGCAGATTGGAAAAAGAAGACATTAATGCTATTAACAATTGTTTTACCTGCATAATATGGAAAAAGATGGTGCATTAAGTATTTATAGTTTACTTTATTTGAGTATGATATATATCCAGCTGTTGCAATTATTTTCTTTGTTTTTCTTTTTTTTCAAGAAAAAAATAGGCAGTTATGCAAGTTGGTGGAAATGAATAAAAATAAAGAAAGAAAAAGAGTGTGTGCGACGAAGAAGAGCAACGACCTGTTGGTTGACAGTTGGCGACTGGAAGCGTGCGACGGCGTCATGGTGGCTGCATTGTGGTGACGGGGGGAGGCAGGGGACTGCCTTTTTGAACTAACTTTTCCCCTCCCCGAAAAGCACAGAAGCGCCAGCGTCACTCTGAAAAAGCGCTAAAAGCGCAGGAAGCACGCGCCCACCGTTCACCGTTTCGCCTGTGCTGTCGGAGGCGATTTTTCCAATGCCCACCTGCGCCCGGTGCTTTAGGCGCGCATAGACGCTTTTTTTAAAACTAACGTTATATCGGTCCGATTATTATATTATCATATGTTAATCAATTTTGGTTGTATTGGAGTTTAGACTTTTGGAAGATGTAGGATGATTTGTTGTAGACATTTGAATGTGGAATGGTTGGAACTTGGTCGAGTAACAGTCTGCCTACAGTGATCATGGTTGGAAAAGAAATGGAAACCCCAGGTGAAACCAAGAAGTGATTTATTTGAATGTTCAATTATGAGTTGAATTGAAAATTTAGTTTACTGACGGGAAAACGACATATTTGATATTTGGATTTTATTTGACATAAAAATTGAAGGGTTTTTTTTCAAGAGGATTGAATTATGTAGTTTGAACAGAATGGAAGGTTTAATTGATATAATATTAAAATTTTCAATCTGGCTGGCAGGGTTTTTGCTGGATGTTGCATTTGCATGGATTGGTAAGTCATCTATAGATATTGAGGCCTTGGGATGCAGAGCCTGCGTTGCATTCCTTAAGTTTTTGGTTTATGTGGATAGAAACCTCGCTTTCTGTCTCATGCAATTATCAGATTTTTGTTAAATAGTATGTAAATTTGCAAACTCATTAAATATCCCTTAAATTCATTGGCCAGGGACACAATCCATTTCTAGTATCAAAACTAAGACTTCCGTCTAAATAATCTAGACGGGAATTTCCTTTTGGAAAATCGAGGGTGTTTGAGAATTATTTAAGTATTTAGGTCATTTCCTATAGTGTCTGTGAAACTTGTTACGAGAGAGTATCAAGTTCTATAAAATATAATAAATAATTGAAACTTGTCATGATAGAATAACGAATTTTATACAATTATGTTACAATTCATATGACAAGTTTGATACTATTTTGTTCTAATTCATATGACGAGTTTTATTTGTTTAATATACTTTATGAAACTCGTCACTCCCTCCTGAAAAGTTCTATGTTCATGGTAACAAATGACTTAAATCCTAAAATAATTCTCAAACATCCCCATTGTTCGAGGAAAAAAATTCCACCTACAATATTCCCAAAAGTTTTCAATAATAATAGAAAGGCTTAAAGTAAAAATAAACTTCTAAACTATGTTGGAGGAATTTTTTTCCTCGAACAATAGGGATGTTACAATGGGGATGTTTTAAGTCCTACAATATTTAGAAACTTCTAAAATAATACAGCTGAAATATCAAGAGAAATGATGTTGGAGGTCTGTCACATCTTAACTGAAATAAAGAAGTCGAAAACCGAAGGGAAAGAAGAAGAATATGTTGCTCAGTAAAGCAAGAGAGATGACTACAAGTATAGTCTCTTTGACTCTTTCTTCGACGATGTCCGCTTCTTGTTTTATCGCTTGTCGCAATGAAAAGCCATCTCTGGTAATCAAAATGATGATTATGATTATGACCTGAAATCAACATCATTCCCTTCCCCTTTAACCGTCATCCTTGTTTCTACCATGGCACAGAGGATGGTTTTTTGCCAAAGATTCTCCATCTCTTCCCTCCACAATGAAGAGAAAGGCTCATCAATAACTACCGAATATGAATAGGTTAAAGTAGGGGTTAAGGTTAAGGTGAAGGTGCAACTTAAAGTGTATCACATTCTTCGCGTGCTAGAGGTGGATCTGATAATGACAAAATCTATGGAAAATGCTTAGATGAAGAAGGAAAGAAGAATAATGAGAGGCATTACTCTTTTAAAATTTTATTAAAAAACCAATTGTAATATCTCCAAAGGAGACCAACTATTATATATGTAAACACCTTTAACCCGTATACGTTGTAACACCCTTAACCCGATTAGCCCTAAAATGCTCAATTATGCTACCGAGGTAACCCCTTATCTCTAAAACATGTTCATTTTCCTTTAAACATACTGAATGGTATCATAATTAAAACATAAATGATTGTTATAAAACATTTTACAAATCGGAGCTCCATGACATATACTTGAAAACCAAAATAATACAGACATTGAGATTAATAAACAAAAACATGAGTAAGGTCCTATGAATACATATGTCCACTAAAGCTACTGTATAATACTTTTCCGGAGATGCTACAAGTCCTGCTACGACGGTGCTCCACGAACTACTCAAGCTATTGGCCTATCAACGGAAAACATCCGAAGGCTGAGCTTACAAAGCCTGACAGTATAATCGCTAATCTAGAGCAACATAAGAATTTCATAAACATAAGCATTCTAAAGACATTGTACCAATTAATAGACATGTATAACTTGGATCATGTGCTACCTACTTAGGGTTCAACAACTTAATCGCTATAGTCTGAGTCTCATGCTTCCCTTAGTCTTATACTAAGAGGCTCGCCATGAGTATACAATTATTGGGTCTCTAATCACAATAACAAAATGAAAGAATGCAATAAGCATGATACATAACAAAACATCAAATATACATATATTTATTGGCATTACCAACAATACACGAAAGTGCCTTAGAACTGGTACTAAAGTGCCTTAGCACTGATATGAAAGTGCCTTAGAACTGATACGAAAGTGCATTCGCATTGATACTAAAGTTCCTTAGCACTGCTGGCATATATCCAAATGTTTCACATATATATACTTTAGACAATCGTCATGCATACAAGTAACTCGGGTGTCTTTATCGTTTCCCAAGCAACAAACATAGGCATAAGTCTTATGAAATCATACCTCATAAGGTTCTTATGGTTATCAAACATATAGTATTATTATCTCCTTGTTATCTTGTCATTATCATAATTTCCATCAAAAGTAGGTGAGAACGCTCCCTCACTACTAGTATTTTGACTGTTCCCTCTCCTAGGTCGTTATACCCAAGCTTAAAAGTATTTTAGTGCTTTATTCCCTTATGGTGATTCATAATTATTACTACCCATGCATACTTAAGGCCTAAATGCCACACAACACTCACATCGTTAATCCACTCCTCGCGAGTGTTTGGGGCTCGTACCCTAGTTAGCTCCCGAGGTGTCTCATGCACTAAGAATACCCCATTGGACAACTAAAGTAGACTGGCTATACCCTAGCATAGTTGGGCTCACTAAAGTGAGGTTATCCTCTTACTAGATGCTATCTTGTTCGTCCTCTCACCTAGAACGTTATACGGAGGCTTATTAGTCTACTAATGTTGTTATTTGTTAAGATGCTCTATTCTGGTCGTTTGTTACTTAAGGACGCTTTAGTCACTTTAACTTAAGAGAAGTCTCTACACGTTTCGTGATCAATGACGATTATTGAGTTTTTGATCACTGTCTGAAGCACTAGGTAGCCCAATTTTGACTCGGGTCCATTACTGAGTAACGACTCTCCAATCGTTCTTATCGTATTTCCCTTCAATACCTCCTGAACTGAAAGGGGACAACTTACACTTTTTGGGTTCACTGACATTCTCGAAGCTCACACTTTGGGCTATTACCAAATCTGACTTATTCATTATTTTTCTTGTTGGTACATCCCCTACAATGATCCTTGTGTTTAACAATACATATATATCATCGAAAGAAATTATTTCGACATATTACGCTTAATACGACCATATTGGTGGTAACCCACTCCTACGAGTGTTTCTAGTTATTATAGGTCGTTTATGTCCTTCAAAGACTAACCCTTACTATTACAGATTGTCCTTAGCTCTTACGAGTCTTAAACGAGTTAAATCTAACCATCTCAGGTGAGTAGTATCGATACGCTACTTGCAGTATCGAGACCCTAGGGTTAAGTATTGATAACCCTATGAGTATTGGTACAAAAAATAGACCTCAATATCGATAGTGTAACCCTGAGTATCGATACTGCCCCTGCAATATCGATCTCCCATTTACAGTATCGATACTGTTCATCCCAATATTGATACTTAAAC